GGGGACGGCTCCGACGAAGACAGCCGCTGCCGTAAGCCGTCTGCCCGCCCCTGCCGGTGGCGGGGGGGTACCCGGGGGGAGCCTGACGGGTGCAGACTGTCTCTCTGAAGTGCAAAGCAAGGAAGCCAGACCTTCCCCTCGGGGAAGTGGGGAGTAATGGTTAGGGCAGGAGGGTGGCGTTCCCAGCTCAAGTAGGAGAGGGAGGCCTAGTGGTTAGAGCAAGGGGGGGTCTATTGCTCTGCATTCTGCCCCCACATTTGGAAAGGGAGGGAGGCCTAGTGGTTAGAGCAAGGGGGCTTATGGGTCTGCATTCTGCCCCCATGTTTGGGGGAGGGAGGACGGTCTAGTGCAGTGTTTCTCAGTGCCCTTAGGGGGGTACTCAAGAGACGTCTGGGGTACGTCAACACGGCTGAAATTTGAAGAAAACCGAGTTTTTGTTTTACTGCACTTTATTATTTCTGTACTTTTTACACCCGAAAGTTCTGTCGCCCGCCTGGCCACGATTAAGTTGTTTAGCAAATGCGTTGCCGTGGTAGAAAAAATATTGTGAGTCCGAAAACTGTAGGCACTGAGGGTACTTACAATTTGGTTGTAAGGGGGGTACTTGATAAAAACGGTTGAGTGGTTAGAGCGGGGGGGCTGGGAGTCAGGATTCCCTGGGAGGAGAGTCTAATGGTGAGAGCTGCAGAGTGCGGGGGTTGGGTTCTAACACTGATTCGCCAGGTGACCGTGTGGTGCCTCAGTTTCTCCATTTGGACAGCGAGGGACGGTGGCGCCGCCTGTCTGTGAGGGGGTGAATTGGGTGGAGGCTGTGGACGGGCTGCGTGTCTCTATGGCGGGGCGGGGGAGCTCTTCTGACCTTCTTTGGGGATCATGTGACTCAGCCCCCCGGAACCAGTTGGGTTCTAACACTGATTCGCCAGGTGACCGTGTGGTGCCTCAGTTTCTCCATTTGGACAGCGAGGGACGGTGGCGCCGCCTGTCTGTGAGGGGGTGAATTGGGTGGAGGCTGTGGACGGGCTGCGTGTCTCTATGGCGGGGCGGGGGAGCTCTTCTGACCTTCTTTGGGGATCATGTGACTCAGCCCCCCGGAACCAAACACCGTCTGGGGCCCGATCCGCCCGCCAGGCCCCTCGCTGGGCTCGCTGCCTCCCCCTCCACGCCGGCCTCTGAGCTCTCCTCTGCCCCCCAGGGATGACCACCTGCAGCTCGGGATCCTTCCAGTGCCCCGGCACGTACGCGTGTGTGCCCGAGCGCTGGCTCTGCGACGGAGACAAGGACTGCGCCGACGGGGCTGACGAGTCCTTAGCCGCCGGCTGCTGTGAGTCGCCCCTCGGCTGGGCCGGGGGGGGGGGGGGGGGGGGGG